AACCTCAGACAGTAGGTTTACATCAGTAAACAAGACTTTAAACTCCAACCAGCTCCGAAATCTGATACCAATTTTCTCTCTCTCTCTCTCTGATACGTGTCTGAAACGTGATTTTTGCCCCCAGATGGTTTTTTATTATTTTCTGTTGTACCTGCCAAGAAGAAAAATATTCTAAAAAAATAAATAAATAAAAGAACATGTTGTTCATTTCCTGCTGGCACTTGTGTTTTGTCCTGAGAGGGTCTGCAACTAGGAAGATTACAGGGTGGGACAGAATACATGAGAGCCTCCTGCCAGTGGCTGGAAATCACACAGACGACGCTGTCACATCTTGATAAGACTCCACTGTAAAAAAGGTGTGTGTGTGTCTGTGTATGTGTGTGTGCGAGGAAGAGACCAATACAATCAGGGATCAGACAAACTGGAAATTTCAGGGATAAACGTCGGTCTCTCAGTCTTATGATCCTGCCTTGTGGGCAGATCCAGAAAAAAAAATGACAAATCGGTTCCAGAGAAGGTACAGAACGGTTCTAATTGAATTTCTCCCAACTTGCTCTCCCTAAACGGTTGTAACACCTTTAGCAAATTACTGCAGGCAGTTGGATGTGATTTACTGGAGGCGATTTTCATGTGCGGAACCTGAAATGCCTGGAGTTTAATTTTGACGAGGGTTGTTGAGCCCACGCTTACGGCCACATCTGTCAGTTTAATCGTGCCTCCTGCTCCCGCCGAAGCCTGTGCTCAGAAATTGGGAACCTTTTTAAAGCTGGAGTAATTTCCTCCTTATCCTATCCCCACATCTTATTATCTGTGTCAACAAGGATATTACACCCTGGTTGGACAGTCTGTCAGTGTGCTGCACACTGTGTGTTTTCTTTTAATTCTGAATAAAATGAGCAGGTTTACAAAGTGAGAGGGTTGATGTAGGGCAGCACGTTATTGCATCAGATTGTATGAAGAAGAATTGTCCTGGTCCACTGTCTGAGGGTTTATTTAAAGGTGTAATATGAAGATAAATAGAAAAAATGAATCAATTACTCCTTTTTCATCTCCCGACAGTTCAAACTGTTAGCAAAGTTTGAAGTCTTTGTCCGTGACCTGATAATAAGCCACCCAGCATTTCAAATGGCAAAGTACAAATGTTAAGGGAATACATTTTGGTGTTTTGCTTGTTGACCTGTGTTATTTTTTATGAATATTTCTTCCTTTGGTTTAAATGTTGTGGTCAATCCCACCAACACATGATGAGATGTCAAAGAAACAAAACGTTGGTAAACGTTGGTAAATAAGTTTTTACAAGATGTTACTGGTTTCAACTACTGTTTCAAGTACTAGTTATATTGGTAAAATTATATTACAAATCCCATTTTTGTTGCTTTACATTTACTTAATTAAAAATGACAATAATATAATAATTAATCAGTTCCTCATTAATAATTACTTAATATAACAATTAGCTAGCCTTAAGACAATACTTTACACTAAACAGAAAACTATTTCTGAAATCCACCAGGACAGAACTCTCCACAAAGTGAAAGCATTTTATTGTCTCTTTGTTCCTGATAATTAAGATTCATTTGTTAGTTTTAATTGTTAGTTTCAGTTGTTAGTTTTAATTGTATTTTTTCTGCAAAGTGCACCTTTGTAGTGCTAAAATACATATAATACATAATCTACAGTTTCTCTCCACTGTTATGAGAATAAACTGTGACCATAAACAGAGCTTTCATAGTTAATGTATACTGACTTGCAATGTGTACAATTTCTATGGTAGTAACTTTTAATGTTATTGTGTATATGCTGTATAAACACTGCAGCTCATCTCCATGTCCTCTTCCTTCCGCCTGTCAGACGAATGATGATAGTGGTATAAATTTATTCTGTCAGATCTGTCAGTGCAAATAGGATACTCATCTGTTGGCAATAGATAAGGCCGTGGGCTCCACTTTGCATTCAGCTCATTAGGCAGATTAATAATTATGGCAAAGTCAGATATGTCAGCATTGAAAAGAAAAATGTTTCAAGATTTCAGACTTGGGTTTGTCTGATTGGCCCTCCCATTTGTTCAACTGTTTAAGGCATGAAACATTATAAGTTTGATATAACATTGAGAATAAAAAACATTAAAGGCGTGACCTGTTCTACTGAGATCAAACAGACTCAGGATGTAGAATCCTTTGTGATTTGATAAGTTCAGCATAACTAGATACACCATATCAAAAAGGGGGGCTGGTCGACCTTGTTCCAATGAAACACAATGGATCTCTTGCATCGATCTGTTTTCATTCACGCTAGGACAATCTGATCAAACATAAACAGGAAATGCAAACAGATGGGTTGTGGTGTTTTGTACTAGAATCAATCCATATTAATTAAAAAAAACAATGTAATGACATTAACATTTGGAAACAAGAAAGTGTTTGATTTGTCTGGCTGCCTTACAGAGGGCCAGCTGCTTCAGCATTAACTCAAGGTTTTCTTAAACCCACTTCAGACCTTTATTTTTTATTTTTTAAATCTAGGAACGTAGAAACAACAATAAGTAATAACACTTTTTCTTCTTCCTCTTCTTCTACTACAACTTTGGTTGCTCCCTCTATGGGTCAATATAGCAGATAATTCACCTCTATCCCACACAATCTCTTGCCTACTGGTACACATACCATTGTTTTCCTTATGATATATACTTATGTACTTATTTACTTATGTACTTTTTGAACTGAAGCAGTAAACAAACAAGCCCATAATGTGCTGCCAAAAAACATCTTCTACACATACTGTATGTGTCTTTGCCAATGCAAAAGTAAATGACAATTTGAAAATAGCATACCCCATCCAGGGTATGCTTTTTTGCAATACACAGCACCAAATGCTTTCTGTTGTCTGTTGTTATTGCTGTTTAGATTATAATTTGGTATAAATAAAGTATATAGTTTACGTTAGGTAATGATTGCATATTCCCGTATTTAAAAAGAAATCACATTTCAATATTCCGCCGCTAAGAACTGTTTCTGCAGTAACACAACATTCCACTAGGGGTCACGACTTCGTTGTCACCACAGAAATTCACCTCACTCTCGCGATAGCTTTGGGCTTCCACCCGCGGAGAGATTCAGAGAGGAGATGGCGGCCAGAGGGGGGTTTCAGTCAGCACCGAGTGGTGGTGGCAGTGGAGGAATGGGTCCAGGACCACCGGTACCGGGTCCAGGGCCAGGCATGGGGCCCGGAACTCCAACAGGCAGAATGGGACCTTCACCGGGCGCGCAGAACCACATGTACCGCTCCCCGATGCCAGGGCCTGGATACCCGGTAAGACAACGCTCCATCATTAGCCTGTCCGCTAGAACAAAGCCCTTTACGTTTGCTTTGTCACCAGTGTTTTACTTTAAAAACCGCTACCCGAGCGGAACGTTGGCTCAACTAACGAGCAGTCTAACTGCAAAGTAGTTACATAGGGGAAATATTCTTACTTCACGCTTTGACTGGCTATCGGAGTTTGTTGAGTTTGTTTGAACTCTAAACCTCCCGCCTGCTAACATGGAGCAAAGCTAGTCTGGTTACACTGCTGGCCAAGACGCTAACGTGGCTAAATGCTAACCGGCCATTCAGTTTTCTACTGTGAAAAACTTAAAATATAATTATCTATTTTTCTTGAAGCTCGTTAAAAATCTTCGAGTGTTTGCTTGTGTTCTTGTGAAGTTGAATTTATCACTAAATCCACCAAACTCTTGTCATTCATTGGCTTTAAAAAAAAGTGTCGTTATAATGATCTTTCCCGATATAAACAGTGACATTAAAAGATTGGCTTTGGTTGTGGCCTTTTACACTAACATGCTATATACAACTTAAGCCTAAAGTCACTAGATGAACAATTCTTCAGTCGAATTATTCTAGTATTTGATATTTTTTCAGCAAATATTTCAGCTCTTACTACGTTAGCTAATCTATTCTGAAAATATTTTCAATGCCATAACACTATAAAAGACTATTAAAGGTGTCAATACACTTTGGTTAATCTGAGCTTCCCGTGTTCTATGGTACAATACATTTAGTTTGTTTTGGGCAGAGGCCTAATAGAAACTGGGCAGAGCCATCTTCAGCCTTCTGGGTGGCTGGCTTCAGAAAGTCTTTTTTGGGAGTAATTCAGTGTATAATTTCCTCTCACCTTTTTATCACATATAAAATATTGTAATCCTTGTGATGTTTGCTGGTGTTTACAACCAGACTGACTTTAAAAAGGCAACCATTATCTAGAAAACCTTGTATTTGTGATATTATTCCACCACAGGACTATCCAAAGTCAGATATTACTGACACAGGCGTGGTAGATTCAGAAGTTTATATGGAATTAATTACAAACTGTAAAATAAAACACCACAGCTCTCTCAAACTGCAGCCTGCAGTAAGGCTATAGCCTTGATTTGAACTTTGATATGAAATTACATGTTGACTTTGTAAATTTGTGGCATTTATGACTAAATACTGCGTAACTTTTAATTATGCACGTTTCAAATGCGTGAAAGCTGGCATGTGCAAATTGTTCGTCCCTGAGAACAATTATTTATACAGTAACTCATTTGATGTAGTTTTCATTTCATTTCGTCAACAGGAGTTGAAATACTTGCTGCTTAGTTACTGACAGCCAGAAATACAATTTGGCATTGGTGAAAATTTGATGAAAAGATGCATTGTCTCTGTTTTTTGTCGCAGCCTTCACTGCGCTTGCTCTTAGGAGCAGCTCTTCACAACACAGTCAAAGAGACTACATTCCACTTCTTAGAAGAGCTAGGGCTGTGCTGATGTATAGCACAAAACTCACTGATAGAAAAAAATCAGTACGTCATCCTTTTCTACCAACACTGCACTTGGTTGAATAAGCCAAACCCATCTGTCACCCTGTATTGTTGATATGTCAGTGTCAATGAGCCTCCCTCCCTTCCATCCTCTACTGAGGAGGCAGTACTGCTGAGTATCTATCATTTGTCAGAGTGACTGCTGGAGATCAAAAGCTGCAATCAGTGATTTTTCATTTATTGAATTTTGGAACCATAGCCATGCTGTCAGACACACAAAGTCGCCTGTTTAAGTTCTTAGCTCATGGTGTGGTGAGTAGAGTGCAAATTCTAACCTTTTTTAAATGTAAAACTGTGTATTTGCTATTCTATAGTCATGATAAAAATCCTAATCTCAGGTAATTTGTTGTCATTATTTGATCACATGTTGGTTTGGCTATTCAAGTTAAAGACTTATTGTCATGTACAACTGAAAAAGCAAGTTCAAGGCTCTTCTGTTGATTCTGCGGCTGTAGATGCTTTGTAGAGAGGGCAGGGTTGTCCTGGTTATCCTCTCCTATATGCATATGTCATTTTTCTACCGTATGTCAAATGGAACCGCATTAGAATACATATATTCATCTTACACACCGACCTTGAAAGTATTTTAACATTTGTACGTCCCTAAACTGTGCAGGCAATGCATGCACTGATTTGCTGGTATGCAGGTATTTTGTCAAAATATTATTTATTTTTTCTAAAATGAGCAATTCCTTATAATTTAGAGACAGCATGTGTCACCAAGTGCTTGAACTGAACATGTAAAAGGAAGAAACACTAGATGCATACTTAAAAACACAGTCAGCTATAATAAGTTATTTTGCAGACTGATTGTGATCCACAGTTTAAAATTACTTTCTGTTTTTGTTTTGCAGAGACCAGGCATGCCTCCATCCAGTCGTATGACCCCTCAGGGTCCGTCCATGGGCCCTCCAGGATATGGCAGCAGCCCTGTGTCTCGCCCTGGGATGCCTGGTGTGATGGACCCATCTCGTAAGAGGCCGGCGCCACAGCAGATTCAACAAGTTCAGCAGCAACAACAGCAGAACCGCAGCCAGCAGTAAGAATCTACCTTTTATTGACAATATCCAAACTACTGATATTGTGATTGCCGTATATTCCAGACTATACGTCGCTCCGGAGTTTAAGTCGCACCAACCAAAAAATGCATAATCAAGAAGAAAAAAACCATATATAAGTTGGTCTGGAGTGTAAGTTGCACTAGTGCCCTCTAGCAGCTGTCAGTGTGAAAATAACGAACATGTGAAATTATATATTTTAATATATAAGTCGCATCTGAGTATATATTGCAAACCCAGCCAAAGAATGAAAAAAGTGTGACTTATTGTCCAGAAAATACGTTGTATCAAGCCATTAGTGGTTCAATGGCCAGACTTTTGCTTGCATACTCAATGACAAATTGTGAGCTGTTTTGTGTATTAATGGTGTGTTCATTACAGCACAAAGAAGAAGAAGATGGCTGACAAAATTCTACCTCAGAGGGTAAGTGTCTCCCTTACACTGAATTAAAACATACATACAGCCACTTTTATGAAGTTGGACTACTGTACACCTAGGAAGTTTCCCCCTAATTGTATGGCCATGTTATACATATTAATACAGAGTAACTTATATGGTCTGACTTGAATAATGTGCTTGGACTTCACCTTATCCTCATAACAAGTTCTTACGGTTTCCTCTTTTGGTTGTTGTCCTCAGTTGTTAAAAATATCTTCTTTTGCAGATCAGGGAACTGGTCCCAGAGTCTCAGGCTTACATGGATCTCCTGGCATTTGAAAGGAAGCTGGATCAGACCATCATGCGCAAAAGGCTAGACATTCAGGAGGCCCTGAAGAGGCCCATTAAGGTATAATTCATTACTTTTAAATCCAAGGACTACATGTTCCACGTACAAACCTAAAACTGTGGTGGCCTTTCAAAAGCTCAGGGGCCTCATAAAATCATCAATCATTTCTGAAGACACTTAAAATAAAATAAAAAGTCTACAGGCATTTGAACAGAGGTGATTTAATAGAAAGGATGGATATTGCTTAGAATCTCACGATTCGAGAACCATAAACATTTCACTGACTGGTTTAAACTCATAGTCTAATAGTAATAATAAATAAATAGAAATAGGCACAGCATTTTATATAAACTTAACAATCTTAACTACCAACACTGTCAGGGCTGGGCCAACTTACTGCCATTTAATACCATAGCAGCAAGCTCCTCTCCACTGCACTGAGTGACTCTGCAGGTGGCCTTCTCCGACAACAGGGGGCACTGTTCCTCACTGAACTTATGCTGCCCTGCAACACGAGGATTGAATCGATTCAAAAGATTGCTGAGTCAATATTTTCACCCATCTCTATTACATAGTGCCATATTTGGAAGGAAGGTAGTTTTTCAGAGGCATACTTATAAAATATGTCAATAAACGTAAAAAGAGTGTCAGTATAAATAACACATTTTGACCACAAGATATCTCAAGTTAAGTTATTGGTAACATTTAAACTCATTTTACTCTTTTATGGTTGTCCACAGCAAAAGAGAAAGCTTCGGATTTTCATATCCAACACCTTCAACCCGGCGAAGCCTGATGCTGAGGATGGAGAAGGCACTGTTGCATCATGGGAGCTACGTGTTGAGGGGCGTCTGTTGGAAGATGTAAGCTTATTTAAGCAGCAGATAATAAATGTGATTCAATTAATCAAATGGCTTAAAAAACAAAAAAATGTTTTATTTGTTTTGCAGACCGCTGTGTCTAAGTATGAGGCTACCAAACAAAAAAGGAAGTTCTCGTCTTTCTTTAAGTCCCTTGTGATTGAGTTGGACAAGGACCTATATGGACCTGATAATCACCTTGTGGAAGTAAGAACCGTTCTCATCTTATTTTTGTCATTTAATTTTATTTAAAAACTTAGCCAGAGTGGGTTAGTCGTGGGTGGTTTTTATTCCATCTAGTGTTGGGTTGTGTGAAAATTGGGCCAAGTAATGAGCTTTGATGAAAGGACTTACAATTGATTGATAAAATCAATTCCTGTTTTTAGAACTTTTAATATTACTGATGTCCTTTGCTTTTAAAAATAAATGTGCATAAATAAACTACTGCTTGCTTCCAGTTCTCACTCACACACCTTTTGAATAGGCACATCGTTACAATCCAATCCATTAAATGTGTTTTTCTCAGTTTGAAGTGTCAAAAACACACATCATAAAAACAAACCTTAAATAGACACATCTTTAAAAAACAAGAGATTCTTCTCTTCTTTTGTGATTCTTCCTTTCAAAGTACATTTGCATTTCACCAGAGTGACATTTAAAGAAGAGCCCAAGGTTTTCCCTAAAAGCTTTGATTGACTGAGTTAATGCTGTGTCATATTGAAAGATCTTTTGTCATTCTAGTGGCACAGAACTGCCACCACCCAGGAGACTGATGGCTTTCAGGTGAAGCGGCCCGGTGACGTGGGTGTTCGCTGCACCGTCCTGCTCATGCTCGACTACCAGGTGAATGCTAAAGGCTATGCTTTGTGTCATTCTGCCATTTTTGAAACAAATGTGTTCTTCATACCAGTGTCCTACTGAGAGCAAAAACAGCTGAGTTTCCTGAAAGCATGTAAATCATTCTCCATGCAGCCCCCTCAGTTCAAGTTGGACCCCCGTCTGGCCCGTATGCTAGGTATCCACACCCAGACTAGACCAGTCATAATCCAGGCCCTGTGGCAGTACGTCAAGACCCACAAACTCCAGGACCCTCATGAGCGCGAGTTTATTAACTGTGACAAATACCTGCAGCAGGTGAGTGATTCTATTTTATTCCTTTGTAGTCTGGTTCACAAAACTAGAATTCATTATCCAACAGTCCCCCAGTTGTCCTGTTCACATCTCTTTCCTGATATTACACAGCTATGTTCCCTGCTCTGCCTTCCTGTCCTTTTATGGACACAGGTTTCCCCCTGAATCTTTTAATGGTGGGCCAACATAAACATCGTGGTAAATAGAAGTTGAATTCCTGTGAACGTAATGTGGAGGTTAAAATGTGCTCCCCATGATATTTTTCATCTCTCTCTTGGGTTTTGAGGGAAAGTAAATGTTAAATAAAAGCCTGCAGTTGGGCTGCATCTGAGTCACATCTCTCTCTGACAACAAAGTGGAACAAACCATAGGAGAGGCGAAAAGAGGCAAGGGGAGGAGGGTGAACTGTTTATAGTCAAAATGTGAGGCTTTTCTCTGCAGAAGCATTACGTGGAATTGAGCTGGAAAAAGAAATTAAAATGATAATATACATGTATATATTTTTGCTGTGTTTCTTTTTTTAAGTTACCCCTAACTGTTTAAAAACAGTATTATGTCATTAATGGCCTTTGTTATTTGCAGATATTTGAGACTCAGCGAATGAAGTTTTCTGAGATCCCTCAGCGTTTGCATGCTCTCCTGATGCCCCCAGAGCCCATCATCATAAACCATGTCATCAGGTAAAGTCCAATCTGACAAACATCACATGAACTCCAATGAAATCACAAGCCGTTAAATATATATATTTAACTATATACTGTGATGTTAAAGGAACAAAAATATTTTGAGGATCTGCATTTGTGATCACTAGAGAAAAAAATAAAAGCATTTGCAGGATAAACAAAAAAAAGTTTGCCATTTTCAGTATATCTATATTTTATTAAACTAGTATTAACTAGTAAATCTATATTTAGTAGTTTAGTTGAGAGTGGCACAGAACCCCTGATAAAGAGACTAACTGAAAGTAAGTGCTATTTAGCATTTTTGGGTTTCGTAGGACATTGTAACAAATTCCAAAGTAGCTCACAAGCTACAAAGGTGTGGATGCCCCAGCTGCTGGCTATTAGTTATTGATATTGAGTGACTGTAATGTAGAGATGTCAAAATGTTTTTGTTTATTGGTTACTTTTAGCAGAGGATGTTTCAGCTGTGAACGGATAATCAATATAAACTACTGTGTGAATTCTAATAGTGTGGACCCCAACGACCAGAAGAAGACGGCCTGTTATGACATTGATGTGGAGGTGGACGACACGTTGAAGACCCAGATGAACTCCTTCCTGCTCTCCACAGCCAGTCAGCAGGCAATAGCCGGACTTGANATAGCTGGACTTGACAACAAGGTAAAACAAGGCTCCACGGCCACTGCTCGGTTCACGGTCCGTTTTTTCACGGTTTGTTGTTTTTGACAGAAATGTTTCTCTCAGCCGGAGGTTGTTTCCTGTAAGGACAGGAACTGTGACAGTTTACATTTTAATAAAACTCCATCTCCGTTAACTAATTTTCCTAAATGCTTTGTTTCCTTTCAGCATTTGTTGTTCAAATCAGGACATTTTGTTCCGTCTGCTTTGGCTGCTAAGGTCATTTTAAACTGTCGACTTGTACGTAAATGGGCAATTTCTACCCATTTTGTGATCGTGCTGAGGGCAATTTCATACACACATCTGCTCCCTTAAAAATGCGTCTGTTTTATTGCCTCCCCTTCTGTAATTTCGGAGGTCTTCCAGGGTCGTCTTGACCTCCTGCTGACAGCTGTTACCTTGGCTGGTGTCACTGCAGTCACATTGATGAGACACAAAGCCTTCCATCAAAAAAAAACCTTACCTGTGTAATCAGAGTTCTCAGACAAATCAGCTCCACGGATACGGACATCTTGTTTTCAGTATACAGATGACATCCATTATAAAGATGATTGTCAGGATGCACAACTTTATCCATCTTCATGGTGCATCATAAATGAGAACCAGAGATTTTAAGACTCTTTGAAAAAGGTGTGGTTGTGCTGCACTTCATGAATCATGAATGAGTTCTATTCATCATGGCAGTTTTTCTTTGCATTACACATTTAAGAAAAAGCAGAAGAAGCTGTGTTATTTTTCATTTTAAATGACAACTAAATGTGTGCTCTGCATTAGCACATACATTAACGAGGACATGTGCTGCACTCTGGGGGCGGGGCCCTGCATTGCTCGTCTCTTTAACAACTAGGCCACGGGCTGCTTCGTAAAATTTAAGAAATTCTGCTTTTATTCCATAATAAAAACATTTTTTTCTGCAAAAAAACCCCTTCTCTCTATGTTGGCATTATACCGGCATTTCTATGTATGTATCGTTTTTGGCAAAGTACACAATAGTACAAGAACCTGAAAGACAGTCTACGGTGTGCTGTTGCAGCCAACAACCCGACAAATTCTATAAATGTCTGCAGGAATTAAATGTGGCTGCTTAACGTCTAAGCCAGACCCTGTCAGCATCAGTCTGTCACGCAGTTGTTGCATCAACACGGCAACGCCTGTGTTTTCTTAAGACCCCGTGCTTAGTATGCGAGTTGTATGTTAGAGCAGTAGAGTGAAAGTGGAGTGCTCTGAAGGCACCAGGCTAAACCAGTACAAGCAGAGGTGTTTGTCAGCTGTAAGGCAGGATTTACCTGGAGCCAAATATTTAATGTTTGCGCAGTATTGGGTTTGACTGTTCTCAAAGTGAGAATCTTTTCCTGCAGTACAGTTTTAACTCAGTAGGCATAAAAACAGTTCACTCGGGTGCACTTTGTATTGTACAGGAAAATTCTAGACGACACTTTACTTTAGTAGAGACAAATGAAAAAAGATGTGATATGGGTGAAGGGGAAGGAGTCTGACGGCTGATATTAGACACATGATGATTTTTGTTTTTGTATTGATGATGCTGTCCTCTTCATAACGGGTAGACAGGAAATGAGTCGGGTCCTCTTTGTGTTTTGCAGAACTCCTGGTTGTTAATTAGGATTTAATCTCTGTTCTGGTGATGTAGTCAGGAACACAGTGTTCAAATATGATAAAATTAAGACTTATTGTGGAGGGGAAATGCATTTTTAATTTGACTAATTCTGATAAATACTTTGGGACAAATTGCCTTAAATTAACCTCGCTTGTTTATCTCTGGCTAACTGTCCACAGATCCATGAAACCATCGAGACTATTAACCAGCTGAAGACCCAGAGAGAATTCATGCTGAGTTTTGCCAGAGATCCTCAGGGTTTTATCAACGACTGGCTGCAGTCGCAGTGCAGAGACTTCAAGGTCAGTGTGTTCTTTCTTTCTCTCGTTATATTGTACTGGATCCTCCTGGCAACTGCAGATATGCAACACAAATCTCTAAATGACTTTGAACTGATTTGAAAAAGTACAAATACTGAAAGCTCAGTTTTGTGTATTTATATAGAGAGAAAAAAAGCAATAAATCTGGATGTTTTTCTCTCATTTCAAACTGAAACTCTGATATGATCATAAAATTTTTTTTTTAATTGCAGCAGTCATCACTGACTCAATCAATCAAAATGTTTTGAGTCAGGTGGGAACTTAAAATGAAACAGTTATTGCTTCTCACTTCTTTCTGACTCCGGTGCATCTCTGATAGATTTGACAATTGAGTCCTTGCACTGATAAAGCAGTGCAGACACGGACCAGAGATTTCAAACCAAACCGTTTAAAGAAGATTAAACTGTCGAACTGCCCCATGTGAGGTGATAAATGTGGACTGTTTTTTTTTTTTTTTTTTTTTATATAAATGACTACACACATAGCTAACCTTTGTCTAGTGGACATGCAACAGTTTTTTGTACAACGCATTTAATCTTTTGGAAGGTGGAGTTCTTAAAATGTACAAAGCAATGTGCACTTGAAATCCTTTGAAACACAGTCACAATAATTTGTATCGTATCATGTATAAGATTTTTTTAAGTTTACCAGGTGAGTCTCATTAAGGGAGTATTACAATATTTTTCATTTATTTAGTTTCAGCCAAAAATATGCTATTTTTTAGTCTTCATATATTCTGGGTTTAATCAGGTCGTTTAGTTTTAAGTTGTGTGTGTTATATTAATTGACTTGTTATATAAAGACGAAATACTGCAGAGTATTGTAAATCCACTAATGAATTGTATGTATTGGACATTGCCTGATTCAAAATCTCATTCCAATAACCCACAGCCACTTCTATGATGATCTCACATCAAATGTCTGATTAATAATACCAGTCTCATAAATGTAGGGCTGTGCAGAACATGTTCCATGCCAAAGATATTCTGGCCGGGTGTTGTGTCACAGTGACCTTGATGTTGACACAATCCCAAGGCTAAGGGCATAATGTCATTGTGTAAGAGTGTGGACACTGTCCACAAAGGCACCTGCTTCTAAACACAACAGGAGGGTTAAATGAGGAGCTCAACTTCTGTCTTAACCGGCTCAGTCATCAAGTCTGATGCTTGGCCATCATTCAGGTTTAATATGAAGTATAGCTAAGTTACTGACTAACAGCTAATGGCCTCCCCATAGCCAGTTGAACATTACACAGAAACGTCCTGGTATTTGACTGCAGCTCATTCAGTGAATTCACATTAATGCAATAGTCAAGGTTTTATGTTCATAAACATGAAGTCAGTGTTGGCCATTATTAACTTGGGCAACTTTAATCTTCTTTTTGCCTTCTTCCTGTGAACAGACCATGACAGATGTGGTAGGAAACCCAGAAGAAGAGCGAAGAGCTGAATTTTATTACCAGCCCTGGGCTCAGGAGGCCGTCTGTCGCTACTTCTACTCCAAGGTAAACTTTCTTCTTCTTTTTTTTTTCTAATTTCATGCTGCAGCTTGTCTTTATGGTTATTCAAGCAAAGAAAGAATGAAGGGAGGAAGGAAGGATGGTAGGACACAAGGAAGGAAGGAATTAGGGAAGGAAAGACAGAAGAATGCCATGAAGGATGGAAGCAGGGAAGGAAAGAAGGAAGAAAGAAAGAATAGAAGGATGGAAGGAAGAATCGTAGGAAGGATGGAAGAAAAGAAGGAAGAAAGGGGGGGAAAATGAATGATAGGAAGGAAGGAAGGAATGAAGGGAGAAAGCAAGGAAGGAAAGAAGGAATTAGGGAAGGAAAGACAGAAGAATGCCATGAAGAAATGATGGAAGCAGGGAAGGAAAGAAGGAAGAAAGAAAGAATAGAAGGGAGGAAGGAAGAATGAAAGGAAGGATGGTAGGACAAGGAAGGTAGGACAAGGAAGAAAAGAAAGACAGAAGAATGCCATTAAGGAAGGAAGAAAAAGAATGGAGGAAGAAAAGATAGGAAGGATGGAAGGAAAGAAGGAAGAAAGGGGAAGAATGAATGATAGGAAGGAAGAAAGGACAAAAGGAGGGAAGGAAGAATGATAGGAAAGAAGGAAGGATGGTAGGACGCAAGGAAGGAAGGAAGGAAAGACAGAAGAATGCCATGAAGGAAGGATGGAAGCAGGTAAGGAAGAAAGGAAGAATAGAAGTGAGGAAGGATGGTAGGACGCAAGGAAGGAAGGAAGGAAAGACAGAAGAATGCGGAAAGACAGAAGAATGCCATGAAGGAAGGATGGAAGCAGGTAAGGAAGAAAGGAAGAATAGAAGTAAGGAAGGATGGTAGGACGCAAGGAAGGAATCAGGGAAGGAAAGACAGAAGGATGCCATGAAGGAAGGAAGGAAGAAAGAATAGAAGGAAAGAAAGGAAGAATGAAAGGAAGGATGGTAGGACGCAAGGAAGTAAGGAATTAGGGAAGGAAAGACAGAAGAAT